CCCGGCAATTCAGCCCAGCACAGCCCGTTAAAAAGGGCTACCCTGTGACGGCCTCATAGTTCTCATAGACAGCTCAACAAGGGTGTCCACGGCTGTAACGGACGCTGATTGAACAGTCGACGAGTCTTTGCATCACCAACTCCATCAACGCCGCCGTCTGCACCACCGCACTCGCCGCTGCCGCCCTTTTTACCGCCGCCCTCATCTCCGCCATCGCCACCGCCACCGCCCCCGCCGCCACCAAGCCCGCCGCCATCACCACCTCCTCCCTCGCCGCCGCCTCCCTCTCCGCCTCCGTCGCCACCTCCTCCGTCTCCACCGCCCTCGCCACCGCCGAGCCCACCGCCCCGGATTGTGGTCGATATCGGGGATAATGTGACTACTACAGCTGCCTTTCTCATCCGGACGAAAAGATTCTACGCGGTGCGGTACACTGGCAACGCCATCAGAGCAGGCGACTACACCACGTGGATCCCCTTGGAGTACGCTAACCAACATCCCGGCAGAGAGTGTGACCAGGCATTCAACACGTCGGCCTTCTCGATCACAAACAGCTTTGGGAATCGGGTCGATGGCGCATGGGATGGTATCATCGAAGACCACGGCGGTCTCGTCGAGCGAAAAGAACCGTGACGAAAAACGAACAACGCACCAGGCGACTCTGTCTGAACGCGGGGGATCGAATCGTAGGAGGCACCTAGAGCAAAATTGAGCCCGCTCAGGTGTGAACTCCATCAAAAAATTAGTGGTCAACCTGCAGGGGGCCACTCGATTGCAGAGAGGTCCCCAGACGACGTCGCAGGGTAGATGACGGTTGAGCCGAGGGAGCGTCAGCGGTGGCCCATACCAGTAGCACATCACCGGGGGAATCACACACACACCGACGCCCGAAGTGCCAAGAATTAGACGAAACCTCGGAAGGCCATGGGCGCCGAGAGAACATTCCCCGAGAGGACAAAAGAATTTTACAACAAAATTCCCTCGCACGACACTGGGCACGGGACTAGCGCGCACTGGCACTAACACAGGTACACAACGGGAGCCGCCTAAGCGACTCCCAGGACAAAAGAAAGACAGACCACCTCCTTCCCTGGTTTCCCTCGCTCGGCCTCGCGGCCTTCGCCAAATGTCGGGCCGTTCTCGGGGCATGCTATCCTTTGTAAGCAGGGCAGGTGGGGAAGGGGGGGCACCCCCCCTGGTCTGATACTGGGGTGTGGCTGTCTCTAGCGTCGGAGGCAAGGGAGAAGATAAGAATTTAATTTACCTTACGGGACAGTCGAAGCACGAAGGACAAATCAAAAAGGGGCTCAAGTGTCAAGAGTTCGCGCGCACACACAGTCACAGGTCTGGCACAGTGAACGGCACACGCCGTCTGCCCTCAATGATGTCTTCCCCTCCCCTTCCCCTTCTTGTGCGCCTTGTGCTCGTCCACCGTTTTGATCTCCTCGCGTTTCGCAGCGCGCGGGGGCGACTTGCCCTCGCGCCGCGGCTGGCTCTCCCTCTGGCTCTCCGCTGGTGTACTGCTCGACTTGCGGCGACGAATGGGTTTGTTGGTTTTGCGTGTGGCCGGAGGTTCCACTGGCTCGGCGGGAGGCTCCACGAGCTCATCGCTCGCGTCAAGCATCCGCACGGACATCCCTTTCCTGTGGGATAATCTGGGCAGTTCGCCGGCGTCTCCCGGCCGCGGTGCGTCTCCCGGCTCGAGGTCGCCAAACCTCGACGCTGCCTGGGCGAATATGGCGGCGACATCATCTGCGATAGCTTCGCTCGGCGGGATCGGCAGCGGCGGCGGCGGTGGCAGCTCGGCAACTTGCTGCCGCAACTCGAAGTTCACCGCGGCCAGTCGGGGTCGCGCGTGCACGTCGTCAAGTGCGAGCGGCGCGACGTGATACGCGTAGAAGCTAACGTACGCCAGCAGCAGCGCGCCGCCTACCACCGCGGGACCGCGGCGCCGTGTTCGCGACGGTGACGGCGGCAGCATTTTGTGTTATGTGAACACGTCACCGCTCGAGAAGCCGTTCACCCCACCCCGTCCGTCTTCACGTTGGGCCCAAGACGCACAAGCACGGACAGTCGAGAAACAGCAGCGACAGTTAGACAAAAACACAACCCCGGTCTGCACACAAAAACACAACCCCGGTCTTCACATCTATACACTATAGCTGGTGTGAGTCTCTCTCTCTCTCCCAACGCAGGCTAGGTAGGAGCCGACCGACCCGCCTCCGCTCACCAACGCGGGGGGGCCACCGCCCATGCGCCGCCCACGGCCCACACACCGCCTACGCCGGCCGTCGCCGGCAAACACACCGCAAACAACCGGAACGCCGGCCAGGGTCACCATCGGCCATCACGAGCCGTTCACAGACCTTTTGTTATGAAGAAGGGAACACCTCCTATGGCGCTGTGCGCTAGTCTATGGGAAGTTGAGGTGCGAGCCCTGGAGGCGTCCACACAGCTCACAGCTCACAACACAGTTTTTATCCACAGAGCACAGCAGGGCACCCTCACAGATCACAGAGACACAGAGACAGATCACAGATCACAGCTCACAGCTCACAAACGACTTTAATTCATATAGAGACTACTCTAATACCCTCGAAAGATGTGCTCCCACGGTAGCACGGCGCCCTGTGCGCGTCTCTTTGCGCCCACTCATCCTTCGAGGAGTGCAAACGGGTTGTGGCTCTTGGGCCCCCACGACGCCTCGAGCACGATGGGCAGTTCGCGGACGCCAATCTCGAACTCGCTCCCCTCGCCGAGCAGCACCTCCGGGTGGGCGTCCGCGTCGTTCAGCAGGCTCAGGACGACCGCAAAGCCCCTCTCCTCGAGGCAGCGCTGCAGCAGCGCCAGCAGCGGGTGCTTCGCCAGGTAGTCGCTCGGCAGCGGAACGTGGGCGCGGCGGGAGCCCAGCCGGTCGGCTGGGAGGACTTCAAAGAGTTCGTCCATCTCCGTGACAAAGACCGACGGGGCCATGTACTGCTCATAGCCCTACGGCGGTCACGGAAGCATCAAAAAAGTATCACGAATGCGTCCGCCAGGGCAATGCAGGCCGCACGCCGGGACGCTCTGAAGAAGCACAGGCTGCACGAACATTTGGCCCGCACGGGCGGCACTCAGGGCCATTCGGCCGACCCTCTCGGCCAGCCGCTTGACGGCACAAGCGCGCTTGCTCTCTGCGAGCTCTTGCAGCGCCTCGGCCTCCGGCAGTCTCGGCACCACCTGCACTTCACTCGCGATGATGCTCGTGACGTCCTCGTCCAGGCCGCTGCCCTGCAAGCCCGCCGCGACAGTGCCGTGCGCGAGGTGGAGGATTTGCGTGCGCACGGCCTCGCGCGACGCGAGGTCCTCCACTGTGAGCCCATCCAAGGCCTTTTCTAGCGCGCTGATCTGCATGTGGGTCGTCGTGTCACGCGTCAAGATCAAACAGACTCGGCCGTCCCCGGGTGCTGTCTGTGGTCCATATTCGGGAATGTTCGTTCCATAGGTGAGTATTAAGGGAGCAGCTGAGTACACAAATCATCTGTTCACACCTGAAGCGTCACACCAATCCTCGCTACCCAACGCGGCCAAAGGATATCCCCCTCGAGAACGAGAACACCTGAAGCAGAAGAATCTTACCATACAAGCCTCTACGCAGCACACTGGCACGACAAGGGCTGGCGCGGACTGGCACCCACACGCAGAAGAAACGACGCGCGTCGTCTGTGCTCCCTTGGCCGCAAGGGTTAGGGTGGGCGACGGCTAGCACCACACCCCTCCTTAAAATCCCTGTGTGGTGGCGGCGTGCCGTCCTCCCATCCCCCGGCTCTTTTCTTTCTTTCTCTTCTGGCTTGACAGTGACATGCCCGAGCCCACCGCCACGTTCGCTGGATTCCGCTATGCTGCCGACCAGAGCCTGTGGGTGCGCGTCTCAGGAGGCGCTAGTATGCCAAACAGCCTCGGCCGCCCGCTCCAATTTGCGACTCTCAACTGCCTGCACGACCTGGGCGACGCGGAGCTGCTCCAGCATGAGCGCCGGCACGAGTCAATCCTGCTCGAGCTTGCGGCGCTGGACGCCGACGTCATCGGTCTCAACGAGGTGACGCGGCCGCTGCTCGAGCGCGTGCTTCTGGAGCCGTGGGTCAGGCGCAGCTTCACCGTGTCGGCGGTTCCGGGTGAGGCATGCTGCAGTCACCTCTCGACGCTGCAGGAGGGCAGCTTCGGCAACTTGCTGCTCTCGAAGATTGCGCCCGTCGCGGTGGCGTTTATTGAGCAGCCCGGCGACCGGCGGCACAGCCACGTGGCAACGCTGGACCTGTGCGTCGGCGGCCGGCGGCTCAGGGTCGCTGTGTGCTCGACGCACCTCACCGCGTTCCCTTGGCTGATGGAGGGCCGGCGCAGGACGCAGCTAGCACACGTCACTTCGGCGATGAAGGCGGCCGCGTTCGACGTCGCGTGCGTAATGGGCGACTTCAACTTTCATCGAGAGGCGGAGAACGCGAGCATCCCCGACGGGTGGGCCGAGCTGCCCGCGGTCGTGAGTCTAGGGGCGACGTGGGACTATGCTCGCAACGCCATGCTGCCGCACTACCTCCCGCTACGCAACATCTACAACGGGCTTGGGCTGGGCGAGCGCTTTGGCTGGCCTGGCCCCATGCGCCTCGACCGTGTGCTGGTTTGCTGCGCGGCCGGCGGGTGTGCCTGCGATCCGGGCGCGGCGCGCATCTTCGCGGACCAGCCGGTTCACGAGCGCGCGCGAGGGCGGCCGCCACTGCCGCAGACGGGGCGCGAGCTCAGCGAGGCGCACCGCTCGCTGCCCTGGGAAGAGTACTTGCACCCCTCGGACCACTTTGGCATCTCGTTTGAGCTTGTGCTAGGGCGCGTTTGAATATGACTCTATAAAGATAAAAGAACAAGAATTTTACAACAAAACTCCCTCGCACAACACTGGGCACGCCGGCACGGGACTGGCGCGCACTGGCACTAACACAGGTACACCACGGGCGAGCCGCCTAAGCGCGACTGTGCCGGCGACTCCTGCGAGGAACAAGAAAGACAACCCAAGCGGGAGGGATGGGAGGACGGCCGAGACGCCGCCACCACACAGGGATTTTTAGGAGAGGAGTGTGGTGCTAGCCTCTAGCCGTCGCCCATTCTTGTGCCGGTTGTGGCGTTGTGGGCGCGTCTGCCTATTTCCACACTCTATGCTCTACGTATGGTCTAGCATGCACTATCTTCTCTCTTCGCAGTCTCTCGCCGAGAGCGGCTCGCACTCGTGGCACGCAGGCGCCGACAGACGGCGCCGGGGCTAGGCGACCGAAGAGGAACTACGGCAAGAACCGCACACCACCCGTTGACGAGCGCTCGCGGAACTGGTCCGCGGCGCCCGCCAGGGGCGTGCGCGAGACAGGGCTCGGAGCCCTTTTCTGTGAGCAGGGATTCCCTCCCGGCGGGGGTTGTGGCGGAGAGCCGGCATGGGAATCGCCCGCCCCCACCCACGTCGGCACTGTCCCTGAGTGTGTCCCGCCTTGGCGGCACACACTCTCGACGAGGACAGTCCTGCCTACGGGAACGTGTCGCGTGCCGGCGACGGTTGCGGCGTGGTCGTTGTCTGTACGAAGCGACGATGGCACGACCACCGCCCTGCATCGCAGACCGGGCAAGGAGGGGCCTGCTCCCTATTCGCGGAACAGGAGATCTTTCCTCCTCCCCCGGCCTGGGCAGCTACGGGTGGAAGGCAGCCCCTTGAGTCGAGGGCGGCGCGACCATTGCTCTGCTCCAAAGACCAGAGGCCGAGGTCAGTGCAGATGGTCGCGCCGCCCCGCTCCGCGTCGCCCGCCGCCGCGCCGCGCCGCCGCCCGATGATTATTAATTCAGTATTAATTAATTAATAAGTAATTATACCACCCGCCGCCGCGCCGCCCCGCCCTGCGTCGCCCGCTGCCTCGCCGCGCCGCCGCCTCGCGCCGCCCGCCGCCGCGCCGTGCCGCCGCCCGATATTATAATTAATAATTATTACCCGATCATTAATCATGTGTGTGTGTGTGTGTGTGTGTGTGTGTGTGTGTGTGTGTGTGTGTGTGTGTGTGTGTGTGTGTGTGTGTTTGCGCGATGGCAGGGAAGGGCAGGGCAGCCGCGAGCGGCAAGTGGCGTCGACGACGCGGCGCGGACACGATGGTGACGCCCACAGCGCAGCGTGCGCGGCAGCAGCGCCGCCGGCGGCCCCACGCCGCATCAGCGGCGCTCTGAGTGAGTCAGGCTGCGCTGCACAGCCTGCTGAGCACGCTCCCGACGAGCAGCGCGCCACGCGGGCCCGCCGCAGGCGACGCGGGCGGCGAGCCGACACGCGTGTCGCAGGCGTAGGCAGCGCTGGCGAAGCGAGGCGGCCGGCGCCGGCCCCCGCAGGCGGTTGCAGCGAGAGAAGCGATGTAAAAGACACTCACTGTTGAAAGGGTGTTCGGGAAACTAGAGAGGAAACGAGAGGGTGCTGTGGAGAAACACCGAAAGGAAACGAGACGGGGTGCGCGAGGAAACATGGATACAGCCTAAAAAGGGCGGGGAGCTGGGGAGCGGCCTGCCGTCGAGCAGCACGCCGCGCGAGCCCGCTGCCGGCGACCCGATCGAGAGCTCGTAGTCATGGTACTATTCAGCGCGCCATCGCGCCCGAGACGGCCCGCCCTGGCCCTGTAGGCCTTCCCAGACGCTCGTACTCGTCTTTTATTCCAGACTGCAGGCGTGGCAGGCGGGCGCAGCAGCGCCTCTCCAGCCCCTCCCAAAAAACACGATGGCCACCGAAGCGGCAGTCACCGCGGAGGAGGAGGCGGACCTCGAGACGCTCGATGTCGGGGAGGGCGATGCGGGCGAGGAGGGCGTCGACGAGGAGCTCGAGGCGATGAAGAAGAAGGTCAAGGAGATGGAGGACGAGGCGGAAAAGCTCAACAAGATCCAAAACGAGGTCGAGGAGCAGCTCAACGAGGGCGAGGGCGTCGAAACGAACGAGGCGGACGGGCGCTCGATCTACATCGGCAACGTCGATTACTCGGTCACGCCCGAGGAGCTGCAGGAGCACTTTGCAGAGTGCGGCACCGTGAACCGTGTCACGATCCTGTGCGACAAGTTCCGCAACCCGAAGGCGCGCGACCCCGCCGCGTGTCGCGCCGGCGGAGCGCCCGGGCCGCCGCCGCCCGCCCTGCTCCGCCGCCGTCCGCTTCCGCCGCCCGAGAGAGGGAGGGAACGACCGGCAGAGGGTGCAGAGGATGCAGCAGCGGCTGTCCGGCCGCCGCCGCTCACCCAACCGCCGCGTCGCCGCGTCGGCCGCGTCGGCCGCCGGCCCCTCCGCCCCGCTGCTGCCTCGCGGCCTCTCTCCGCCGCCTCGCGCCCCACCTCTCCCTCCCCAAACTGCAGCCTCCCCCTGCAGCCCGCGCGCGCCTGCAGCCCCGCCCGCTCGCCTACTCCTGCGCCTCGCCTCGCCCGCAGGGGTACGCGTTTGTGGAGTTTGCCGAGGAGGCGGCGGTGGAGGCGGCGGTGGCGCTCAACGACACCGAGCTCAAGGGGCGGCAGATCAAGGCGCGGCGGCGGGGAGCGGGGAGCGGGGGAGGAGGGCAGCGGGGCTCTTTGCAGGGGCGGCACCTGCCGGCCGCACCTCTTGGCCGCACAAGAGGCTGTAGTCTCTGGAGGCTGCCTTCACGCGGTATGCACTGCGCCCCACCCCGCGGCGCCCGCCCCCCCCCTCCCGCAGGTGGTTGCCAAGCGGACCAACGTCCCCGGCATGAAGGGCGGAAAGGGCGGCAAGGGCAAGGGGCGGGGGCGCGGCAAGGGGTACGGCAAGGGCAAGGGCTATGGGGGGTACCGGCCGTTTTACCGGCCGCGCTACCGCGGGAGAGGCGCATCCCCCCCCCCCCCCCCCCCGTTCGGGCTCGGGGACTTTGGGAGCGAAGTGGAGGCGCGCCACCCCGCTTGCGGGCCAGGCCCTTCCCTCCCTTTTTCCCTCCTCTTGGCCCTCCCTCTTCCTCTCCCTTTTCCCTCCTTCTTCCCTCCCTCTTCCCTCCCTCTTCCCTCCCTCTTCCCTGCTTCTTCCCTCCCTCTTCCCTCCCTCTTCCCTCCTTCTTCCCTGCTGGCCCCTCCCTCGTTCCCCCCTCCCCCCCCCGGCAGGGAGTGACCCCTCCCCGCCACTCCGCGCGGCAGGCTACCGGCCCTACTAAGCCTCTCCTGCCGCCGCCACTGCTGCTGCCCCTGCCGCCTGCCTTCTCCTCTCTAGCTCCTCGCCGGCGCCGGCCCCTCCGCTGGACTGGCGCGAGGGCTGCGCGCGCCGCCGGTGCGTGTCGCTCGAGGCCCGCGGCGAGGCTGAGACACGCGACTTGCGCGGTCTGGCTAGGGCTCTGCGTGCGGGCTTTCTCGCGCGCAGCTCGAGAGCTTGCACAGTTGCACACAGCTGCTCTCTAATTCGCTATATCTTGCTTGGCGTCCCGCGCCGCGCGCGCCCCACACTGATCACACTGTCCCGCATGTTCGGTCGCCTCTTCCGTGTTCTCGTCTCTACCCCCGTCACGCGTCAGAGTCTTGACGCAGTTTTTCGTAGGTGTTGTTGTTTAACAAAGGGGAGGAGGCGGGATCGCGCGATGGTGAATAGACACCGCGGCGAGTGAGCACTAATGTGTGAGCCGATCACCGATGCCGCGATGGACACAGCACACACACGATGACACGCTCTCGAACCACGAACGCGCTCTCCGTGTCGCCGTGTGGTGTGTGCCGCCACAAACCCTTTTCGGGTCCCCGCCGGGCACCGCTCGACCCCGAGTCCGCCGTGTGAAATGGTGTGCGCCTGCGCCGGCGCGCCGCCACGACACGTAACCGCGCAGAGACATAGACATGCAAAGGGGAGGGTGCAGGGATGAGGGAGGAGACGGCCTCCTCCTCCTCTGCTTTACCAGCCGGCCGAGGAGGTCTTGATGACGTAGGCGGCGACGTTGGCGATGTCGTCGTCCGAGAGCCGGCCGCCGAAGGCGGGCATCGCGTTCTTGCCGTTGGTCACCTGCGGGCGAGGGGGGTCGGAGGTGTGAAGAGCCAGGAGGAGGTGGAGGAAAGAGGCGCTGTCGGCGGTGACGGCGGTGAGGCTGGCTCCGAGAGGGAGGTGGGAGCGGAGCGGCGGGCCATCGGGTGCGTGGGGTGGGTAGGGCGCAGGGCGCCTGCTTCATCACGGACTTCTCGTTGAAGCCGCCGTCCAGGTACTCCTCCAGCGCCTCCTTCTGCGAGCGGCGGGGCGCACACGGCGCGGCGCGGTGAGGGGAGAAGGCGAGATTGTGGCAGGGCCAAGCCGGCGCCGGGCGCACACACCTCCAGCGTCTTCTCCGGCATGATGACGTTCTGTCCGCCCGCGTGGCACGCCGCACAGTTGCCTGAGAAAACCTGCTCGCCGGCGCCGACATCGCCGGCGAACGCAGACATCGGGTTGGCGGCGAGGACGGCGGCGGCGGTGAAGGCCGGGGCGGCGGCCTTGAACACGTCGACCGCGTGGAGTTTGGTGGTATGCGGCGCGTTGAATGAGAGAGTGGCGGCGGCACCGAGGCTGAACATGATCTCTTGCGGCGTGGAACCCGTTAATGAATAAAAAAATGAATCCGCACCTCAGCGGAGTGGGAAGAGGACCGCCGCAAGCGGCGTGGCGTGGAGCGGTTGTGCATCCCTCCGGGGGCCCCTCTGCGCCGGGGAGGCGTTGTTGGAGGCTAGGACGCAAGCGTCCGTCGCCCTTTTCAAACTCGGGGCCCACTCCGCTACGCTCCGACCCGAATTTGGAGGGCGGTTACTGGACCGTGTTCAACGACGTTGAACATTGTTCAACGTCGTTGAACACTACTTAGGAATGGCCGTAGCTCCTCTCCACGAGCGATTGAGAAGACGTACCACGTGTCGATTCTGTATAGAATTGCAAGGCGCACACGCTGGTGCAGGCGGGGAGTCGTCGATCCGACTCGTTCCGACGTGAAGTCGTGAAGGATTGGCAAACAGGGCATTTTGCCCAAGATTTGCCCTCCCGCGCGATCTTCTCGCGTCGGCAAGCGCGCGGGCCAGGATGGGCGAGCCGGTCCCGCCACGCTGGACGGGCCAGCGGCTGGCACGCGCCGGCCACTCCGGCGGCGCGGCGGCCTCATCGCGCTCGTCGTCTGCGAGGCCACCGCTCGGCGTCGCCGCGTCCGACGGCGATGGCGCTTGGCTGTGAGGTGGGATGGCGGCATGGTGCGCGCGGACGTGGGGGTGGTGCGGGATGCGCGTGCCAGCAAGCATAGTTTCACCTCCCCAACCCCGCAGGCGCGCCGACGTGCTGCCCGAGCGCGTTTGGAGGCAGCAGCAGCTCCTCGCGAGGCGCCTTCGGAGGGGTGCCACACCCCTTTCCCAGCCGCGCGCGAGTTGAGCTCCGATTTGCGCTCTTTTTCGCACACGCCCGACGCTATGAGGTGAGGATCGACCATCCTCCGCAAGCAGGGCTTCGTCGGGCGCGTCTTCGTCGAGCGGTGGTGCATCTCCCATGCTCCCACCCGCGCCCTCCTCGCAGCCCGCCCGCGGCCGACACCGACGCCCTCACGGGCTCACCCTAGTCGTAGGTGCGGGTTTTTTGCGTGCCCTCCGTCGATACGGGGCGCTGGGCGATGGCTGGGCTTGTCGCCGGGCGAGCTGGCCCCTCAGTCGGCCGCGGAGCGGAGATGCGAAATCGAGGCGGCGCGGCCCCTGCGCGCAGCCTATCCGGCCGGCGCGCGCATGGTTCCGTAGCCCGTCTAGTGCCTCACTGACCAACTCCAGCGCTACGGTCTACGTGGCCGGTGTGGTACTGGGGCTGGGCAGCCTTGGGGCCGGCGGAGACCGCCGTCTAGCGGTCGCACTAGTCGGATATCGTTGTTCAACCTGTTTGTTCAACGGTTGTTCAACCATACTTTGAGCCTTAATTATTAATTCGGGTTTGGGTCTCTGAGGTCGATACTAGCGTCTATAACTTGCCACAAGCATGCTTTACAAAAGTCCAGCGGAGCTGGACTCGCAGAACGGCCGTCCGCGCGCGCTGTGAACAGCGCCGTGGTTGAACACTGTTCAACGTCGTTGAACACGTGACGGTCCAGTAACCGAGGGCCTGAAAGTTCAAGGTGTTGCTGCGCAAAAGGGGTCGGACACAGGGCGCAGCTCATGCTAAGAGCTAGAAGAGGAGACAGAGAGAACAACCACCCTGTCCCGTTATTGCGTACACCAACACCACAAAACGCTCTCTCTCTCCTGTCCTCACTCAGGGGGGTCACAACTACCAAGTCCCTCGACTAGCTGCCACAGGGCGCAGCTGCCACAGGGCGCAGCTGGAGACGCTCTCCCTCAATCGGCATCCACCCCCACCCGCTCCAGCCCCACTTCTGCTGCCGAGAGAGCTGAATCGAAGCAAGCGAGCCATTGCATCTTGGCGTGCTCCTGGAGCGCGGCTTTCTGCTTGGCGGCCACGAGCACGGCGGAGTCGGCGTCGTAGCGCGCATCGTTCCCGCTCATCGCCCATTCCTCCCACGTGACGTGTGTCGGCCGCGATTCGATGTCGCCACCTTCATCGCCAACGAGGACTCCCTCGACTGCAGGGGGCTCCGGCGCGGGGAGGGACTCCGCCTGCTGCGCTGGCCGACCGCGCCCTCCTCCTCCATGGGCTCGATCCGAATCCGCAGCGTGTCGTCCCCAGCGGCGGTGCTGCGCGGGAGGCGGCCGCGGGCACGCTGGGCTCGATCAGCGGCTTTCCCTCAGTTGCCCCGAAAGCACGGATTTGGCGGCCGTTCTTGGCTTCAATTTTACGAATGTCTTGGCACCAGCTGAAGGCTTGGGTCCCACATCGCCGGATTCGTGCACGGTATTCGGATTTTGCTATTTGTTCGTGTGGGGGTATATTGCAGATTTGTCAATGGTACCGCGTCTGCGACGCGGGCGCCTTGCGAGCAGAGCCCTTAGGACACCCTTTATATCTTGCGCGGTCAAAAAATCGGGCAGCGCATGGCAAAAACTCGCCGCCTGAACATGGGCTGCAAGGCGCGCGGGCAGCCCGGCCAACCCTTCGACCACAAGAACGGCCACGGCTACGTCAAGGCGCATCGCGGTTTCTACCACGACGCGATCTTTGTCAAGCGCAACAACTTCAACCTGCTGCTCCACGAGACGTTCGGCGGCGGCTTCGGTGGGCGAGCTGCGCCGCCTCGCGCGCAAAGTCGCGCGCGGCAGCGTCGACCGCACGGCCTACTCGCCCAAGTACTCGCTCTCTTTTATGTCCCACCCATGCAGAGCGTATCTCTCTCTCTGTTGTGCGAGGCGTGAACCGCGCCATTCGCTCTCACGGGGAGGGTGGAGAGGGGAACCCGCAACCCGGCCGCTCAGAGAGGTGGGAACGGCTTGTCGCCCGAAGCGCGAGAGGCTGGGCTAACTGCCTTGACCTCACGAGCGCTACGCCATCATTCGCTTCAACGCGCTGCGCGCCGACACGCCCGTCGCCTGAGGGAGGGAGGGTGTAGAGGATGTAGAGCGTAGAGCGCTGTAGAGTTGTAGAGATGTAGAGCGCTCTGGAGTGCTGTAGAGCTGTAGAGCTCTACATCCGCCGCGGGACGAAGCGCCTGCGTTGTAGAGCGATGTAGAGCGCGATTTTGTTGTAGAGTTTGTTGTAGAGGCTCTACAGCCAAACCGCCGGGAAGGCAGTGACTCAAAGAGGTCGACTCGCACTAATGGGGTGTCTCTGAGCTTACTGGAGCTCTGATGGACGGCCCTGACTATCCCTGACACACAGAGAGTCACTCTAACAGCACACAACACCCTATAACTGCGTCATGACCAGCCTGCCATGCGTCGCCGGTGCCGCATTCGTCGCAGTGTGCTCCTTTAGCAGGCGGTGGACTGTCGGCTGCGAGGACGGTCGCATTTGCGCGAGGCGAGGCGAGCATTCAGACGCGTTGCATGCGCCATGCCTCGCGCCAGCGCGTGCGGGAGCTCCTGGCTGAGCGTTGAGTCCAGGCGAGTTGCGCTGGCCACTATCGCTACACCTAGCCGAGCTGACGCGCCGAGGCGCCGGCCAGTCGCAGCCGTGAGGCATACCACAGCAGCAGAGGCACCTCCCACCCATTGGGCGGGCAGACAGAAGGCCAGGGCAGCACTGGCAAGTGCAACGCGCCTCATGTCGGAGAGCGACCGTGCCTCGTTCGCCGCTTATGATGTAGAGTTTGTTGTAGAGATTTCGCGTTGTAGAGCGCCTCTACATCGCTCTACAACGCAGGCGCTTCGTCCCGCGGCGGATGTAGAGCTCTACAGCTCTACAGCGCTCCAGAGCGCTCTACATCTCTACAACTCCGTAATCCGCGCAGCACCGTGTAAGGTGTAACCTGAGGGAGGGTGTGAGGATTCTGAGTGTAGAGCACGAGAGAACTGTAGAGCTGTAGAGATGCAGAGCGCTGTGTAGAGCGCTGTAGAGCGCCGGCACCGCGCGCCCCCCGTGCGCGGTCTGGGGGCTGGCGGGGGGTGCCCCGAGACGGCGAGAGCCGTGGGTCGCGGGGGCGGGGCCGGCGCGCCGCGGCGGCGCCCGCTCGCCGCCCGCTCTCCCGGACACACTCCCGCGCCCTAGGCGCCTCTTCCACTCCTCGCTCGCTCGGAGTACGGCATGCCATCCTGTCTGTTTGAACACCACTCGAGTACTTTCGCGCTTGCGGTATCTTACGTACGGGCACATGCGCACATGCAAAAACACAAAAATCGGGACGGCTATACCGTATCGCGATTCAGCGGCCACTCCCGGCGGGTCGAGGTCGAGCGCGGCTACCGGGACGGCTACTTGTGACGTCCCGGGACCTTGAGGTGCGGTAGCCGTCACAAGGGGCCGAGGTCGAGCGCGGTCTCACCAGAGGCGACAGTGGCAATGCGGTAGCCAAAGGCGGCGACGACGCCGAGCAGGACGACGAAGAGGGCACCGTTGATGAGTGGCTTGTTCTTCTCGAGCGACTCGACCAGGTCCGCCGCCTTGAGGATGTCGTCGTCCGACTGCTTCTCGAGGCCCTCGGGCGAGCAAACCAGCACGCCCGGGTTCTTGAGCAGCAAGTCCGCCGCCGCCTTTTTGCCCAGCCGCTTGTTGAGCAGCGCGTAGGTGCCCTTGATCTTGCGCGGGCTGTTGAGGGAGGGCAGGATGACGGCCGTGTTCTTCGACAGCATCTCGAGCGCCACCTACCGGCGGGCGTGGCCTCTTCTCTCTCAGAGACAGCGCGACTTGGCACCTCTCCGAGAGGCACCTTCTCGTTCGGGTAGCACTTTTTGAACTCCCTCCACAGGATGAGGATCTCCTCCTCCTGACCGGCCTTCTTTGCGCCGCCCGTCTGAAAGGAAACCCTCTCCGCAAACTTCTGAGGAAGGCCGCCCTTGATCAGCTTGGCACGCGCCGGATCGGCGCCATCGGCGATCGCCGAGCCGCGAGGCCCTGGCCGGCTGCCTGCACGAGGCGCAGCGAGGCGCGGCGCGGCTGCTGCGGCGCCCCACGAAAGCTGCGCCGTCGGTGCGCCACGCCAGGCTGCTACAGCGATGAGCAGGGCGGCGGCGAGGGCTGGCATATGTGAAGACAGTGGGAGTCTGTCGGGGCGCAAAAAAGAAATTGTCTTGCTTCGGTGTCGTCCGTATTGAACAAATGTGTGTGCGAGTGGCGAATCTCTGCTCTGCTACCTTCCCCGCTGCCCGACGTGGCGGCGCCCTCTGCTCAGCGCCCCCCGAGGACAGGAGGATACGGAAAGGGCACCTTGATGGCTGAGCCTTCGGCGCCGCCGATGCCGGGCACGATCTGCCGCTTGCGCGACTGGACGCCGACGAGGTCGATCCTGCCGTCGGGCAGCTCGGTCGGTGTGATGCTGTTTCCGTCGCTGTCGAGGAAGTTGCCCTCTCGCACAAGCTCGGCGGCGTACTCTGAGGAGGAGGGCAGGTAGGTTGCCTTGGGCACCACGCCATAGCTCGGATCGATCGCCTTGAAGGAGCTGCGCACGTCGGTGACGAAGAAGAGGCAGTCGCGCACGATGTTGGTGCCGTCGTCGCCGAGCATCGCCGCGTCGGTGCTCGCCTGGTCTATCTTGAGCTGCGCCTGGCACGCCGCGCCAATCTCGTCGGCCTGGCCAAAGAGAACGTCGGGGGTGATAGTTTCCTGCACGGCGACGCGCAGCAGGAAGGTCTCGCCGGTCGGGTCGGTGAAGGGGCCCTGGATCTTGCTGTCAAGCATTACGATGTCCGCCGGCGTGTACTGGGCGATGCTCGACTTCGCCTCGAGCATCTGCTTGGTCCAGCCCATTGTGTCGTCGATGCCCGCGAGAGGCGCGAGTATATCCACGGCGGTCTTGTCCGATTCGGTCGTGGTTGAGGAGGTGAGGCCGAGCGTGTCGGAGAGGATGGTGGCGAGCATCAAGCCAGCGATGTTCTTCTCGCACCCGGCGCCGGGGATGGGCCGATTCGCCTGCCGCGATCGCGAGAAGAGCACGGCGCCCGCCGACCCGATCGGACGCACGTCCACCTCGTCTGGATTGAGTGTGACGAGGCCTGTCAGCTTGTGGTGGTCGACGATTGATTGGATCTGGTCCGACACCACGTCCGCCGCGCCGGGCGGCATCTCGGCGACGTTATTCGTATCGACAGTGCCGAAGACGGGGAAGGGGATGTCGTTGATGTGCTTCAGTATGGGCGGTTTCGGGATGCCAAAGTACTCGAGTACCCACGCCGTCTCCGGGTTGGGCTCGTCTGAGTTGATGTACGCCTTGGCGCAAACGGCGGTGGTTGGGCCAGTATACCTGCGGTGTGGAGAGAGAGCCTCAGGGCCGTGAAGGCCTGTACAACGCCTGCAGCTCGACAAGAGGCACCCCGCATGCGGACCCGTGGGAGGGTGCGTCAGCTCCCACTCGCGGATGATGGCTGCGCTGATGGCGTCTGCGCACGCGCCACGACGTCGCATCAGCAGGCAGGTAATGGGCGCAGCCAGGCTGTGCGGATCGCACCGGTGTCGGGCGAAGAGTGGCCAAAAATTGCAATCTCGTCGCCCTCGCAGGGCGGCGGCTCTTCGCCGCAGGGTGGCGCGTTGTGGCCGATTATAATGCCAGGAAGCTCCAGCTTGTCAAAGCCGAAGAACTTCGCCAGCGTCTTAACGGCCTTGCCTGACAGCTCGGCATCCTTCTCCGGCGCCACAGTCGACAAGAGCTGCAAGACAGAGGGGCGCGGTTAGCGCGTCAGCCAGGGGCGGGCATGCGGTGAGCTTCGGTTTATAGGGCGGGCATGCAGTGAGCTTCGGGAGAGGCGTGGGCCTTGGGCGCAAGATGCTGTCGGTGAGCGCCGGCGACGAGCAGGCAGAGGAGGCCGACGCTGGCGACGGCGGCAATCAGCGGGCCGGCGGGCGTGGAACACCGCGCGCGGCGATCACGGTCAATGATCATGTTGTTGTTCTGCTGTGGTGCTCGTGTACACATATGATTTGCACAAACGTGAGGCGACCGGCCAACCTCCCTATTTATTACGGAATGCGGTCGGCCATAGCAAGCCAGTAGATCGGTTAGTTCGGGGTCGCCTCGTCGCGGCTTGGGATGATGTAACCCTTGCAGCGTGCACTTGGAGCACTTGGAGTGCAGTCATCAACCTCACATCCAGGGCCGGGGAGCTGAGAAGCGCACCCAGCGAGCCGGATGATCGGCATCGGGCTACGGGCTAGAGAGCCCTGACCCCTAGCTCTAATTGCTTGATTTGTTTTCGACACGCGTCGCTCGCTGGGGCGCGCTCGCGGCCCCGATCCGGTGTATGCGCCCGTTGCTGCAGGGCTTCCGCGGGTCGTGTACAGCGCGCGGCGGCGTGGCGGCCCACTCGCTGCCACTTCTCGCGCTGCGCGGCGGCGCGGCCGGCGCCGACGTCTCTCAGCTCGTGCTTGATGCGACCTTCTACCTGGGCACTGCGATGGCATCGATGGCGGGCACCATCACAGCAGGCTCGTGCGAGATGGACCTCTTCGGCTGCACGATCGTGGGCACGCTCACAGCCATCGGAGGCGGCACGATCCGCGACATCATCCTCGGCCGCACCGTCTACTGGCTGACCGACACGTCGCACCTCACCATCGCGCTCGCCGTCTCGGTGGGCATCTTCCTCACGTCACCGCCGGCTCGGTATGCGTGTCTTCACACCTCGCCTTGCTTGAGCAGGTCGCCATCTTCCTCACCTGGCCCGCCCTCGTCTCGCTCGGGCTGCGAGACTCGCACCTGGCCTTCCTGTGGAGCGACGCGCTCGGCATGCAGCACATGTGTGCGTCGTCGCAGACTGGTGGTGAAGGCTTCACCACTCACGATTGGTCGTCAGGCATGGCCTCCTCGTGCATCGTCGGAACGCACATCGGCTATGAGCGGACCGGCAAGGCGCCTCTCACACCTCGTACCTCGGCCGCACCTCGGCTGCACCTCGGCTGCACCGCGACTAGAAGAGAGAAGAGCAGCACCGCTTCTCCCCTCCACCGCGCTCTCCATGCCTCCCCATAGCCACAGCCGCCTCGCGCAGCCGCCTCCTCGACCCCTCCTCCTCCTCCTCGCTCCCAGGCGAAGATCGCGATCCTCTGCGGCGTGCTCACCTCCATCGGCGGAGGAGCGAGATGTCCCCGAGAGCTCGCCCAGAGTGGATCTCGCCGAGAGGAGATCTGTCTCGCCAACTCACAAAGGCCCTCTCTCCGAGGGCCACACAGAGACTGCCTCTTCTCTAGGGCGTCCTCTCTCTCACGCCCATGCCCCAACCCTGACCCCAACCCTGACCCTGACCCTGACCCCCCGACCCCCTGACCCTCTGGCCCCTGGCCCCCTGCCCCCCTGGCCCTCACAGGCATCATGCGCGACCTTCTCTGCCTCGAGCGGCCGCGCGCGCTGCACGCCGACCGATCGATGTGCGCCACACCTCAGCTCACCTCGCCCACACCTCGCCGCACCTCGCCCGCACCTCGCCCGCACCTCGCCCGCACCTCGCCCGCACCTCGCCCGCACCTCGCCCGCACCTCGCCCGCACCTCGCCCGCACCTCGCCCGCACCTCGGCCATATGCTTGGAGGGCAGGTACGCCACGCCGGCGCTGCTCGGCGCGCTGCTGTTTGTGCTGTTGAGTGGCGACAAGTACTACGCCGCCGCGGAGCCGACGTCGCCGGTCCCGCTCCCCGCCGGGGCGGAGTACTTTGTGCCGTGGCTCTTTTGCCTGCTGCTGCGCGCCGCCGCCTGGACCTTCCGGCTCGCGCTGCCCCACTGGGCCCGCAAGCGGCAGTCCATCTTCGACTTGCGCGGCGCGCCTCCCCCGCTCGAGGCGCAGCCCTCTCCGCGCCCCATCGCCCCATCGCTTTTCCCGCGCGCCGTGCCATGGACAGGCTCGCTCTCGCTCGAGCCGCAGAAGCCGCAGTTCCAGGTGGCGCTCACGCCGGCCGAAGGGCACAACTCCATCGCTGACCGGGCGGGGCTGGCCGCGGCCTCGCGCCTCTTGCAAGCCAGCGCCTCACTACTCACTATCCCCTGGCCGACATTAGGTGGGCCGGCTGCTGCTCGGGCCGAAGCAGAGGCGCCGCTTTGGCCTGCCGCAGCTGCTGGTGCCCAAGGGGCGGCGGGGGCGGCGGAAGGTGCCGCCGCCGGCCGACGAGTTCGACTAGAGCGGGGGATGCAAGAGCGCGCCTGTGCTCTCTCTGGGGGGGAAATAAAAGTGCACCAAAAGTTTTTCCTGGCCGGTGTGAATAGGCCCGCGGGTAGTCTCCCCCCATCCCCAGGGGGCCTCGGTCGCGGTCCAGGGCTCGCACCTCAACCTCTCACAGACCAGCGCATTAGCGCCATAGGACGTATTTTCTTCTCATAACAAGGCTGTGAATTTTCGTGTCTCCAAGCGAGGAATCGCGCCTCCCACTCTACACACTACCTCACCTAGTCGCACGATATCGGACGATGACGCGAGGATCGCTCGCTATTAATACCCCCAATATCGCGGCTCCCACAAGAACGGCCACGGCGACGTCAACGGTTCGGTCAAGCTCAAGGCGCACCGCGGTTTCTACCGCGACGCGATCTTTGTCAAACGCACAACAACTTCAACCTGCTGCTCCACGAGACGTTCGGCGGCGGCTTCTCGCCCACCGCTGTTCTCAAGCTGCGCCGCCTCGCGCGCAAGGTCGCGCGCGGCAGCGTTGACCGCACGGCCTACTCGGACGCCCCCAAGTACTCGCTGGCTCTCTTTTATGGTCCCACCATGGCGGCGGGGGCGGGGCGGGACCTGACGAGTAAACACCTCGTCTACCATGTGAATGCTGCTGGGCGGAGTCGGCAAGCACGCACATGCACATGCACATGCACATGCACATGCACATGCGCATGTGCATGTGCATGTGCATGTGCATGTGCATGTCATGTGCATCAGTGCATAACATGTACTGTGCCTATATGCACACACGTGTGCACATTCAGGCGAGGTGTTTGCACGCCAGGGGCGGGACGCCCTAATTAAAAAACAACTCATCGTCACTAGTGCGCCCGCGGCCGCTTCCCGAGCGCGCTCGTCGCGCATCCGCTCGTGGTGGGCCTGCCGTGCCCCGCCGCGTCCGGCGACGGCATCGATGCTGTCCGCCCGAGCGTGACTCGCAACTCCACGATTTGCCGTCCACGGCCAAACCGGCTCTCCCCACCAAACAAAGTTGAGTCCTCTCTCTCTAGAGAGAGATTTTTTCTTGCATTTTTGCTCCCGGCTAAGGGAGCAAGCAAGCCCACTCAACCCCAAGTACTCACCATTCTTACACTGGTGTAGCTTGTGCAGAGGCTGCAGCCTCTGCTGGGGCGGAATGCGCGGGGTTTTCGGCGCGATGCCCTCGGCGAGTACACGCTACTGCTGTGCCGCACGCTCTCCTGCGCGCGCGTGACGTGTGGGACGCGTGCGCTGCGCTCAAACGTCGCGATTTGGCGATAGGCGCTCGAGCCGGCGCACAGCGGATAGGTGCGCCGCGCAGGGGGGGTCGGAGGGGTGCGACAGGGGGCGTGGGTCGGGCGCGCACCGGCTGGCTCCGGGAGCGGCCGTCACGTCGAGGAGTGGGGCTGTCGGCGGCTCGAGCGCCGAGGCGAGCCGCTCTGCGGCGCCGCCGACAGCCCCTCTTCCGAGCCGGCGCGTGGAGGCGAGCCGCGGCCGGTGTCGCTGGTGCGGTGGCGGCGCAGCGTTTATCCCCCCCCCGCCCCCGCCCGCGCCCGCCCGCCCGCCCGCCCGCCCTCAGGCCTTGCCCCTCCGCAGGCGCGGGAGTGCTCGCCGGCCGCGGCAAGCACCTCCTACCTCTCCTCGCGCGTCAGGCAAGGTGGGGGCAAGCGTGGCGGCGCGGGACGCGCGGCGGCAGCGGCGAGCAGCCGAGCGCTCCGTGCGCGGTGAGGCGGCCGGGCGAGGGCGCGGCGGGTGACGGGGCAAGGGAGCAGCCGGGCGTGGAGCGGCAGAGCGCGCGTCTCTGGCTGACAGACGGAGCAGCGACACCGCGCCAGCGGTCGCTGCTCCGCCCCTCCGTCGCGCGCGCCGCGCGCGCGCTGCGCCCCTGCCGCCGCGCCCCCCTTCGCCGTCTGTTTCCCGCCGTATGGTGTGCGGTGCGCGCACGCGCAGCGCACACGGCAGCGGCTCCCCACCGGCCCCCCTACCCACCCCCGGTCGCGCCGCCGCCGCCGCCCCCGCCGCCGCCGCCGCCCCCACTGTAGCGTTTGGGGGGGGCGACTGGCGACGGCAAAAATGCAAGCCCCGCCCCTGGCCACTGTAGCAATACCAAACAACTTGATATTCATTCATACTTGTAAAATCACAAACAATCGACGCACGACGCGGGGCCGAGACGCACACCAAAAGGATCGGCCATTCCAACGGCCAGACCGCTCGCTTAGGATTGGCTAGACGAGCGGTCTACCTCGTACTCGTACTACCCCACGGCGGGGTATTCCATGGAGCGTGTCATCAAAACAAAATCTCGCGCGTCTGCACCCTTCTGCATCGGACCAAGGACAACAGAGCGACGCCCTTGCCCACCGTACCCGCTCAAGAGGCGCCCCGCCGCCGCCCTCGCCACTACCCTGTCCTCTGTCACCTGTCCTTGACACGCCCTCGACTCGAACTCAGACGCGTGCCACATGGTCGCGTTGCTGCTTTACGTCTTCGGCCAACGCGTCCGTCAGCCGCCAACTCTCAACCACTGCAGTCGAGCGGGCGTGTTTACGAACGGGGCTAGGGCGGCTCGTGAGTGCCTGTTCCCTCCACCGCTCTGGACTTACGTGTCGCCTTCGCCTCAGGGGATGCGCCTCCTGGTGTTCTGCTCGCCGTTTCTCGCTCTCATGCCCGGGCTCGTGCTGCTGGGGCGCGCCTTCACCAGCTGGCACCACCGCATACTGGTTGCGTGCATCGCGCTAGCCTGTGCACGAAGCGGTGCGCTGCGTGCCGAGGCTCCTCTCATCCACAACCACCCGCACTCCTCCCATCCCCTCCCGCTCCGGCCTCCCGTCTTAAAGGATTCCGCCTCGCGGCAACGTGCGGGACGACGCCGCACAAGGAGTCCGACTACTCCGGGCAGGCCAACGCGTTCCAGTGGTTTTATCTCGCCGTCGTCTGTCCGTGCTACATCACCTCCCTCTGTGCTGTCGCGAGCTACTCGCACCCGCTCTCACTGTGCGTGGCGTTGTTCGCTGCGATCTGGTTCAAGGTGGCGGTCTGCATGTCGCTCTGCCTCCACCGCTACGCCGCCCACGCCGCCTTCCAGTGTGAGGGCGCCACGCAGCTCGCGTGCGGGATCTTGGGGTGCCTCGCCTTTCAAGGTGGGCTGATGCGAGAGCCCCCGGCCTGCCCCACCCCACAGCTACAGCTGCTGGCCAGCTCATCGGGCGGGGAGTTGACTGTCAGGGGGCCCGCTCTGGTGGGCGGCAAAGCACCGCTCGCACCACAAGTACTGCGACGTCGACTCGCGCGACCCGCACTCTCCCGCTCTGATCGGAGACGCGAGGTGAGGCCCCCCCCCCCACACACACCACCTGCCCTTTGAGCCCGCCCACACTTCACTGCGGCTTAGATTGCTGGTAGAGCCTCGCAGGCACTGTACGGAGCTCACTAGTGCGGCTGGGTGCTGCCATGGTATGGCCTCAGCCCCCTTCCCGCCTCACTTGCCTGACGCTTGCCCCCCCGCCCGCCAGTGCTTTCACCTTCTTCATCGCGGGCGATTCGGACGACGCCTGTGCGCGGATGCAGGCCGTCGACGAGGACTTTGTCCCGGCGCGTGCCCTCTACCCGAGATATAGCTACGCCGAGACTCAGCCCAGATACAGCCGACACACAGCCGAGAGCGGAGGGAGGACTTTGTCCCGGCGCGTGCTCTCTACGCCCTCCCCAGCCCCTCTCGCCATCGCCGGCCCTGCAACCCCCTTCGCACCCTCGCGCCCTTGTTTTCCGCGCAGGCGCACGCAGACTCGCGCACCATGCGCTGGCTAGACACGTTCGGCGGCGTCCTCTTCCCGGCGCTTGAGTTCCTCGCCGCCTTCCAGCTCGGCGGAGACGCCGCGCTGTGGGTCAGCTTCTGCTCCTCCGCCCTCTGCCAGAGCGGCTCCCTCTGGTTCAACGGCGCGCCGCGGCGGCCCTCCTCGCGCCTCCGCCCAACCTCCACCCCCTCCCCCGCTGATCTCCAACCTCCCCCCCCGCCGCCCGCCCGCCCCTCCCCGCCGCAGTCAAGAACCACCCTCCGCACGGGGCACCCGAGTGCTCCGCCACGGCGCAGACCCCAGGTATCCTCGGCGTCCTCGCCGGCCGCGGCCGAGGCAGCGAGGCCATCACCGTCGTCTGCGACGCCGTGACGGCGCTGATTGCGCCCCTCGCCGGCGAGGGTACCCACGACCACCACCACAAATACCCCAGGCTCGCCGTGCGCCCCGGTGCCGACCTCTGTCGGTATGTGGTTGCCGCCGCGAGCGCCGCCGGCCTGATCCACAAGGTGCACTGGCTCGGACGAGTCGACGACTCGTCCAAGGCCAATTAGCGCGGCGCCCTCTCTCGCGCGCGCCCTCTTTTTAGCTCTGCCGGCCTCTGTACTATCGCCGTGCGCGCCGACAGAGGCGCCAGCGGTGTCTGTTACTGTTACACCATGCTGCCCCAGCTCTCGGGGGGCACCTTTGTCCAAATGCTAGTCCAAATGGAATGCAAACCGGTGTGTGTGATATTTTTCTGTCCCCGCTTTACGTGTCCTCGTCGTAACCTCTCGAGGGTCCGCTACGTGTACATGTACATGTAAAATGTGCACTCTTCGGTATAATGCGGCTTACCAAACGCCAGCAATACTGTAATAAACACTTCTCTCTAGGCGTAAGGGAAACCCATGGAACTGCCCAAACTCCAGACCGTACCTCAAACTGTGCGCGCCATCTTGCGGATCGCAGCGTGATGTCGGTCTCACCAGCAGCCGGCCTCAGAAACCCATCGCCTCCACCCACTCCTCGAGGGCGCGGAGGCGCGGCAGGAGGGCGAGGCTCTGCGGTTGCATCCCCGCCGCCTCCTCGAGTTGCCTATCCACAAGTGGGGGCACGGCGTGACGAGGCGCCGCCCGCCGCGTCCCGCCCGCCGCCGTCCTCGACTCTGCCTCAGGCGCGGGATCGGCGGCCCATCGCTCTCCAG